TCGACCAAACCTCCTCTTTCCACATTTCTGTCCCTTTTGGTACACCTTCGATGTCTTTTTTTTTTTTTTTTTTCATCTCTACATGTCATACCTTCTTCGCATGTGTGATTGTCTGGCCTGTTGCCTATCAACCTGGATTTCCCATATGTGTAGCCTTATTTCTCTTCTATCTCTATCATTCTTCCACCTGTTCTGCTTACCAACAGATGTAATGGGCTTTTCTCTTTTGGCTTCTCCTTCGTCATTTCCTCCCCTGACTGATCTACCTTACATTAACTTACCTCTTTCTTTTCATGGCTATTTGACTGAGGCTTGTCTGTTTCTACTGTTGCGGGGTCTTGGGATGCTCTGTCTAATACATCCTGCCTTCCCTGATTTCACATAGTTTTTTTTCCCTCCTCTGTCCTTACCCCTCTCTTACACTCCTCACTACTGTACATATCCTCTGTTCCTACTCCATTGCCTGATTGGGAATTGAATGACATTCTTCATGCCCTTATTGTTGATCCTTTTCAAACCCTTTGATGCTTTCCCTCTATTGCTTCTCTCTTAATTTTCTTTCCTTCTCCTTCTTTCAAGTACTCTTCATTGTTCAGACTATCCTACCAACTCCATTTGAATCCATTTCCACTGCTTGTGCATTCTTCTCTACCCTGACCATTTCTTCCCTTCATTTGTTATTTATGGTCATTCTGCTCTGGACAAATTCTTGTGTCTGGTCCTGGCTGTCTGTTTTTATCTCTCCAATACTTCCTCTTTTTGGGTTCTCGACACCATTTTTTCTTTTGTTTCTCTTTCCACATTTACCAGGTGGATCCTCCAACTCATCTCGATCTTTTACTCTTTCTTGGGTGTGGTTAGCTGTCGACCATTCTGTGTCTTCTCTCACCAGATTCATTTCTGGCATCTCCCTATCAACAGCTTGAGAAGATTCTCTGGCTGGCAGTGTAATATCCCACACTCATTCATCTTACACTATTTCCACCATTTGGCTGTCTCGTCTCCAGTAGTATACAGACTTCCACCTATGACCATTCTTCAAATAATCCTGCCCCTGTAACAGATAAGTAAATTCTTCTGCTCATTCATTCCTCATGTTCATTTTGTTTTCAAATCCCACTAGGCAGTTGATGTTGCCTCCCAGGGTATACTTATTCAAAATCCACAATTAGCTGTGATAACAGAAAGCACTCAAATCATTTCTTTTATCTTATCGTTAAAATATACTTGTTTAAAATTTGTGATTTTAAAGAAGTTGTTCAGAATATTTTGAAGTATTGAGTAAGTACCAGTCTTTTTCCTGTAGTTTGTATGAGATCTATATGGTTTTTGACAATTCCTATACTTTGTAATGCATTATAAATGCTGAGCTGTAGTAAATTGACTAAATTCATCATAAAGATACTAAGTTTACTAGTTCTGTTGTATTTAATGCATCTTTTTGTAAGGATGTTATTGTCTCATATGCATTGACAATGGTGTTGGGCTCTTTGAACATTTGTAGTGTTAAATTGTTTCAGTGATCATGCAAATACTGCTGAATTACAAAGAAAGGCTTATCATGCTACTTGTACATTTATTTTCTTTTATTGAGGAATGGCCCAATCTGTATATTTACATATTATATCAATTTCTTAATATTCAGTTTAAGCTTTCTTCCAGTATTATTAGTTATAGAAATTATGCTCTTTTTTCTTAATGTAAGAATTCTAAATAATAAGATATTACATACAAAGGGTATGCATGACTGATTTTTATACCAAAAGACATGATACAAGTTGTGCTTCAATTGGAATGTATCATAGCCACACAGTTTTCTCAAGTTTTGAGTGTTGGCTCAGACTTATTCATGATTATATCTTAGTGATATGACATATATCTTTGAAATTAACATAAAACATAGCCTACAACATGGAACATCTTTGTGCAACATAAAATATATCCCAAGTTGCAGAGAAGCACAGCAACTTATACCATTACCATAAACCTATTTTGGAAAATGCATGAAAATATACTGATGAATAACATAACTACACAGACATTAAAGAAACCAATAGTTAAATACCACTTGAGATTGCTCTAATCCCCTTCTTATCCAGGTGATTCACCTATCCAAAAGACACCAGAAGTATTATTTACCAATTATTGATAATAGAAAGTTTATATTTTGGAACAGTTGTTTTGTGGATGATAAAATTTGACTGAATGTTATTATAAATGTGTTAGAATCTGTTTCTTTGTCAGGTGGTGTCAATTTATAAGAAACTGACAAAAGCACCCAGTAATGCTATAAAGGGGGCTGTTGCCTTTCACTATTTTGAGCTACTACATACAAAGTGCCCATGCTATGCGTGGCATTAAAAATCACTTTTGTTTGGCAGTGGTTTCATGTATCTTGCTGCCAACATCTTCACTCAGTTGAATCCTCACTTGCAACATATAGGTAGTACATTTAAATGGCTGTCAAACTTGAATTATTTCAGCTCAATTTTAGGGGGTTCCACTTGAGTTCTATCAAATTTCATAAAATTTGGTACAGCCACTTCTTCAGAACAACTTGTAACACCAGGCAGACAGATGGACAAGGCTGCTTTATGTATATCTAGATTGCTCTGCATCCTTAGCATATTAGAAGCTGACAGTAAAATATTCACTTTTTATTTTTGGCAAACATGAGAGCTGTATTTTGGTTTTACTCATAGAAAAAAAACATTTTGATGTCACAACCAGTTTTGATGCTGAGCCCATACCATTTTTTAAAAAAGCTGCATTATAAATTGAACTAAAAGAAAAATAATGTTACAAAACAAGTTACATGAATGAGACTGGAGGTTGATGACTCAAAACAATGCAAACCAACAACATGTTACAGCAATATATATCATATCAGATTGCACTTGATGGTAGATCTAGAACTAAAACTACTGTGATATTCAAGTATACATTTATTTTCAGCTGAGAATTTAGAGTACTTTCTTTCAAAATTTATTGCCATGAACTCTCTCAAACATGTACTAAAAACTTTGAATGAAAATATATGTATTTTGACTAAAAAAAAACATTGTTCCAACAGTAAATATGAAATATTTAGTTTCAAAGAATTATCCATATAATAAATGGAGTACTTTATGTTTCCGAATCTGTATGTATAGATATTTCAAGAGCGAATCACTTGAAAAAGAAACCTAGAAAATTTCTTACTTTAATGTGTGACTTGTACCGTTCTGTAAAAAGTATGAAGAGTAGAAGAATTAAAGTGTACTTAATTGTGTAGGATATGCATACAGCAACATTTAACTTATCTGGATATCCAGAGCAATAAAAGAGTCATATTTTCAGTTTTTTAAAATCTAATGTTTTTTAGTTTGTTCAGTGGAGTATTAACAAGACAGGACAAAGAATATCAGAGCTTGGTGTTCATGGTGGTGCTACAGGGCCTTTCACTATCACTGGTCATCCAACCACTCATCGCCATCATCCTGTTGGGAAATTGTTTGCATTTGATTGTGATGGGAGTCATGTTCTTACGTGTGGAGGATCTGGAGGGATTGTATATAAGGTAAGATTAGAAATATAAGTGCTATTGTTTTTCACAAACATCTGTCAAAAAATGCAAAAGAAAAGCAATTGAAAAAAGCATATAAATAGATTTTGGTTTAATTTATTGCATTACATATCATATATAGATAGATGGAGGATTTAATATTTGGTTGAAAAGTATAGTGGAGTTAAAAAAATTTAAAGTTTTTGAAGTACCTTTTTATTTATAGAATTTTTATAATATGTAACTAAAATTCTTCAAGTTTATTTTTTAATTCCTACAAAGATTGTTTTTCAAAAATTAAGCCTTCCAGTGGCTTAGTGGTAAGTCTAGGGGCTTATAACCATAAAAGTTGGGTTTTCAATACCTGTGGTGTGAAGAGCACAGATAGCCCATCATTTAGCTTTGTGCTTAACAACAAACAGAACAAAAATCAAAGTGTGATTGCAATACATAGTGTGAATTATATATATATATATATATATATATTCTTTTTTATCAGTTCTTCAAGTTACTATCTTACGTGTTTCAGTTAACCAGTGGTATGGTTTCTCCTCTGTTGAGTCTTGGAGGACACAAGTGGCCTGTGGTGACTGTAGACTGGTCAACTCCAATGGACTGTGGGACTTGTATAACTGGTTCATTAGATGGTCATATTATAGTGTCCACTTTACTTGCCCAGTGATGATGCTACTAGTTATATTAACCATTTATGTTGTATGATGCAACTCAAGAGCTTTCAATTAAGATAAGTCGTGTTAGGTGACTTGTTATTGAGAGATACAATGTCTCTTAAGATATAAATATATATATATATAAATTTACTTAGGTTAAATAAACTAGTAGTTGTAGTGTTTCAAAAATTGTTTTTTGTGATTTTTTAGAATTCCAATAATACTCATTTATTGTTAACATTGGCTTCATTTCAAAAATTTTTCAAGTAAAAAAAAAATATTTGTTTTGAGGTTTCAAATTCCTGTAAATGTAAAGTTATGAGTAAAAAAATTTAAATTTGCCTTCCTAATACTTATAGGTATTACACAGTAGAATATGAACAGTCTTTTTTTATTATTGGACTAGTTCTCACATAACACAGAAATTAACTTTGTATTAGAATTATTATTTAACAAAGTATAGTTTCTCTTAGTACACAAAAATTATTATACTCACCATAGAAAATTATAAATTTCATGTTTTCATTGTTCTTTGCTGTTACAAAATTGGCTTGAAGTGTACTTTTGTTTTAATGTTTTATGCATTTAATTTGGTTCCAAAACTTTTTTTAGTCTTGGTTGTCAGAATGTGTAGGCTCGATATGGTGTCGGAACATTTAATCTAGGTTCTCACAACTTATAGTTTTGGTCATATGCTTTGATTAGTTTTAAAACTTTTTGTATAGTTTCTGAAACTGTTAGTATAGGTTCTAAATACAGAAGTTTCAGAGTTTTGGGTTTTGAAGCTTACCTTCTAGGTTTCAGAACTTTGTCTTTTTTTCAGAGCTCTTAGTCTGGATTCTAAAACCTTCATTCTAGTTTATAGAAGTTTAGGTTTAATAACTTTTCTTTTTGTTCACAAAATAATTTTAGTTTCATTTCATAACTTTGAGCTTGGGTTCCAGAATTTTTAATTTTGTTTCTGTGACTTGCAAAATAGATTTTTATTCTTGGTTCTAAACTGCTTTTTCCCATTTTTGTTCATTAAATGCTGTACGTTGAGTTAAAGCAAATATACCAATGCTTTAGAAACTTTAAATTTTACTGATACTGGATTGATGGGTAGGGTCACATTTATCCATAGTATTGTGGGTCAGTATGTCAGAATAATTCCTGGTGTGAATGCTAGATATCAGATTTTGTTATTTAATGATGTATACAAAGTGGCTGTTATATGAAGATTATCAGATTATTAGAGATTTTGTTAAGGTAATTACTATCTGTAATGAAGAGTTGACTATTGTATAAATGTTCCCGTCAAATAGAAATATTTCAGGGCTAGTGAGAAGTAGCTATAAGTCACATTAATAGAAATATTAAAAGTCGGGGATGTTTTACAAAATAAGATTTTTCAATTTACAGAGAGATTTGTCATTAATACTGGCATTTGGGATAATACAGTGTTTTTAAAGTTTTCATCATAACTATAATTCTCAGTGTTTTAACCATTGCATATGTTTTTTGGAGATAAAATAAATGTTAGCAGTAAAAAAAGTTTTATGATTTTAAGTAAGTATTTATAGCACATAGAATTTTCAATTTACAATTAATTAACTGCTGGACTTACAGTATTTCTTCTTTTTGTTTCTCACAGAAACCTACCTAAAGTTGTATATGCCACTTTTTCTTACAGTTAATGTCTTTGTGTTCAGCTAATTTTCCTAAATTATTTGCATCTCAACTAGAAAAAATATTTTTTTTCTCTTTACCAACCTTTTTCATATTTTTGATAATTTCTCTCCGTACTTCAGTAGCTCAACAAACATGTAATGTATGGTGTTAAACTTTTGTGTGATGGAGTAGTGAAGGATTTCCTAATTTTGCAGATGATTGCTGTAGGAGTAATAATGTGGTAGAGATTGACATTAATGATAAGAGTGTGAAAACTCGTTTGATGTTTGTAATTTTTTACATTAACTTTTGTAAAAGTGGTTGAACTTTGTTTCATGCTGTTAGGACAGGGTATACATCATTTCTATATACAATAGTAGTGAGTTTCTGTTTAAATCTTGGTTTCATGCTGGCTTTGTATCTGTGTTGGGGTTGCATCTGTCTGATCTTGAGGCATATGTAAGGTCAAAAAAAGAATGTCCACATCAACTGGATAAGATATTCTAGTTTGAAGCATGGGCTCTAAAATATTTTATTCTTTGTCGAGTTTAGGTTCTGACTGTATAAAACAGTGTATTATCTGCATGTTTAGGTTCCAGTAAATGGATAAACCATGTTTTTGTTTGCAGAGCATGGGCTTTGATTGTATAAAACAGTGTATTCTCTGCATGTTTAGGTTCCAGTAAATGGATAAACCATGTTTTTATTTGCAGATCATGGGCTTTGATTGTATAAAACAGTGTATTCTCTGCATGTTTAGGTTCCAGTAAATGGATAAACCATGTTTTTATTTGCAGATCATGGGCTTTGATTGTATAAAACAGTCTACTCTTTGCATTGTGGGGCGCTGGTGATTAAGTAAAATATAGATATTTGCACTGTGTGGCTTTCGATGATTTAGGGGAAAATATTCTTTTAGAATGTGGGTTCTGGTTACTTTAAATGTATTATCTGCTGAGAACAGTTCTGATCTGTGCAGAGTTTGTGGTATAAAAAAATGCATTATTTTCAAAGTGTAACTTCTGATTTGGAAAAAATATTGTATTTGGTGGGCTTTAATTGAGCAAGGTATAGGAATATTCACATACACTGGTGTATGTGAAGATTAAGTCAAGAAAGCCTTACATATGAAACATAACTGCATTGGCCATACTGGGTTACCAAGAAATTCTTGAGTTACTAAATAGAATACACTTGTAAACTGAAAGAGAAGATACATTATAGAGCAAACATCATTATTGTAAAATAGGTAAAGCAGAAAAGTGAGAAACATTTAATAAACTCATTTAGCTATATTACTTCTTTTTATTTATTACCTGCATGTTTCAGTTTGGATTAATAAAGAACTAAGAACTAGAAAACTGTTTTTTGAGTGGGATACAGTGAAAGGTTTGGAAAATGTACTTCAAGTTGTTCACTGCTCAGGAAGTACTATCATGATCTTATAATTTGTAATTTAATACTTTCCAGATTGCAATACGTTTTAAGATATATATATATATATGTCAAAGTTCATTATTATTGTAATATATGAATTGTGAGTTGTAATTTAGAAACTAAAGTGACCAGCTTGTTGTTATGGGGTTTATTATGATTAGATTCTGTGATATTGTCATAGAAATAATTATCTCTGATCTGTGGTAGGTAATTACTACTGCTGGTTTCTGTGGTATTGCCCTAGAAACCACAATTTTTAAGCTGTTAAGGTGATTAATATTTGTTTATTTCCTACTACTTTTATCATTCTATTTAATACCTAAAACCAGTCTTTTCTCCATGGAGGGTCGTGGCCATATTATTAAATTTTTTGCTCAGGTAATGTATTACTTATTTGGCAGGACCGTGATGAAGAATTACAATTTTTTCAATGCATCACTTGGAGAAACTGTTTAATCCCGTTAGGCTAATAATTTCTGACTAATATCTGTGAATACGAACTTATGTAGTAATAGATATCATAAAATAAAAACATTGAGTCAGATGTCATTGATAAAATTGTAAGATCTGTACCAGAAAAGCTTCAAGATTGATTTACTTCTTTATTTCCAAGATGCAGATAGTATTGTGCAATAAATCACAATTAGTGTGGTAAGTGCAAAAAAAAGAACTGTCACCTCAGTGTTGCTAAAACGTTGTCAACATAGTTTAGTTCCAATTGTGTGGCAAAACAGTTTTATGCATAATATCATGCATTCTAGATATTGTGACATATTTAGCTGTCATACTGACTGAACAAATGTATACATAATATTTTATATTTCTATTTTGAAGTGCATTTACAAAACAAGGTCCTTATTGGGTAACTCGCCCATTCTAGCTCAGTTATTCTCTATGGGTGTTTCAATTTGTGGACAATTTTTCAGTATTTTTACAGCTTTTCAGTAGAGAGAGAGAGAAGGAGAAAGAGTTTGTATAAACTGTGTTTAGTTCATGTAGCTTTAATGCTTTTAAATAATAAGAATGTTTGTGGATCTGATTTGAAGGGGGTAATGTATGGTTATGATTCTCTGCTCAGTAAGTTTGCTGTATCAAATAGAACAAATAAATATAGAATTTGTATATTTACATTTTATTCTCCTATAGTTTTTCATTGAAAAAAAGAAAAATTAAAAAGTTTGTCTCCTGTTTTTATATAAATATTATTATTTGTAAATAGCTACTCTGGAGAGTAAAGTAACATTTGTGGAGCTACCTTATAAACAATAAAATCTGTTTTGTTGAAATGGCTTTATATTTTTTGGGAATGTAACTTGAACCTTTATCAGTGAAACATTTTAATATTATCTGATTTTGCATGGTTAGCAATTTGCAGAATTATGATTTGTCTATTTTTATGCTTATGAATTTTTATCCATTTGTCTAAATGAATTAGTTAGATCAGCGTTTCCCAAACTTTTTTGGACACGGAACACTTTTCAGCAGAGAAAAAGCTTATGGAACACTAGACACGTGAAATATCACTGTAGACTGTATGTTGCGTGCGCATCGCCCTCTAGATTTGTATATTATTGATTTATTTATTTAATCAAATTACATATTAATGAATTTTTACATTTTTATGCTTATAACATATTTTACGTACAAACCTCTCCACTAAGATATTGTTACGTCTCTGTTCGTTAGTTGATTTTCCGTAAATTCGTTCCCACG